TTATAGGCAAGTAATTTTAATATTTTTTATTTTATACAGAATTAATAGATAAATCATTTAGCTTTAATTTTATCTAAGATAAAATTAAATTTTGTTCATTATTTTAGAAGTTAATGAATACAGAACAAAAACAATGCATCAGCTGACTTAAAAAGTGACAACGATTTTCAAATTTATTAATCTTCAAAATCTTTTATTAATCTGCAACTTTCAGATAGATAATTTATTTAGCAAAAGTTTCGTATAAAATTTTATTGTATAACCAAATTTAAGATAATTTTATAGACAATAAAGTCACCAAATATAGATTTTTAGATACAAAAATTAATTTAGAAGTTATTAATAAAAAAAAGTCCAGAAAGTACACCTTGAGTTTTTGATAAAGTTCATATAATTTGTAAGTTATAAGTTGTAAGAATTAGTAAGTAAATTTAATATTTTTTATACAGAAATCATAGATAATATATTTAGCTTTAATTCCATCTAAGACACTTTTAGATTTTATTCAGGAATTTAGAAATTAAAAATTACAGCACCGAACCAAGTTCATCAATCGTTCACCATTTAACAAATTTATTTTTCTTCAGCAAATCATGAGTCATGTTTAATAATTTATTATAAACAAATTCTGACGTATTATTTGAGAACATTTGATAAGGTTAATTACAATAAAACTAATATAAATTAGCAATAATATCGTGTGTTTAAATTATAAACAAACCTAGGTGAATAATATACTTGGTAGTAAGTAATACAAATTCTAGTTGGTGAGCTTGAGTTTAGTTTTAATTTAATTTATATATATATATATATATATATATATAGAAAAAATAGTTTTACAGGTTTTTGTTATATGAGAGTATTTTAGATAATTTAATTAGCTTAAAATTTGCCTAATGTTATATTTGAATACGTTCACAACTTCAGAAGTTATCTGAAAAATTAGTAAAAAAAATGTACTTTTTAATTTATATCAGTTTACAAGCAGATTTTGTTGCATTTCGAGCTTTTGGTTTTATATATATATATATATATATATATATATATATATATGTTTAATTTGAGTTTAATATTCGGGCGTAACATCAATAAAAATAGTATGAGAGTTTTTTTAAAAAATTATTTATTTAAAATCCATACGTTTCGGCTAGCATCTTAGCCATCATTCAGTGGTGATCAAATTAACTATAAAAATTGAAACTAAATAAATTATATGAAAGGAAATTTCATGGAAAAACAATAATAATAATAATATATTTATATACATGTAATTTATATATATATATATTATATATATATATATTACATGTATATTTTAATTTCCTTCAAAGTATTTATCCAGCTCTTCAGAGTATGAAAAGAGAAAGTTTTGTGAGTTACATACAACAAATATTCGAAAACACGAATTGTCTGACATTTGCTTTCAATTCGCAAAAAAAACTACATAACAGAGATTAGATTAAAATTATAATCTTGTAAAAAATTAAATTAGATAAAAAAGTTATGCAAAAACTAATTAAAATTGGTAAAAAAATGTTTAAGTAGAGATATGAGATTGAGGGAAAAATTGGTTTTGCAAATTTTTGGGCAAGTTTAGATGTAGTTTATAAATGTATTCAATAATTTTATGAAGTTTTGATGTATAAAGATTTTATAGATAATTGTATTAGCTATAAATTATCTTAAGAGAGTATTTGAATTTAACAACTCATTTAGAAGTTATTCCAAAAATACTGTAGAAAGTACACAAATTGCAAGTGTATGAGGGGACTATTACAGAAAGTTCCAAGTTTAGCTACAGTTTACTATTAAATTTATTTAGTTTATAATTTATTGTATGAAGAACTTGTAGATAATTTATTTAGCTAAAAATTACCTTAAGACACTATTTGAATTTAAGAACTAATTCATAATCTATTTCAAAAATACTACAAAAAGTACACTACAATTTGTTTACTGACTAATAAAATTTGTATACTGACATTTATTTTCTCGATAACTTCTAACATTGTGGGCCAATTTAAATGAAATATTCGGCAAATTTGTTGCTAATTCAATTATCTAAATCACCTTTATACAACAAAATACTCTACAAAATTTCAGTGAATTTATAGTTGCATCTAAACTTGAAGAAATAAATCTACTGGTTCTTAGCAGTCTTGGAATATAATTTGTCTGGTGACATTTATTTCTACGATAACTTCTAAAATTGTGGACCAATTTAAATAAAATATTTTGCAAATTTATTGCTAATTAAATTATCTATAATATCTTCATATAACAAAATACTCTACAAAATTTCAGTGAATTTGCAATTGCTTCTAAACTTGAAGAAATGAATCTACTGGGTCTTAGCAGTCTTGGAATAAAATTTGTCTACTGACATTTATTTTCTTGATAACTTTTAAAATTGTGGACCGATCTAAATGAAATGTTAGGTAAATTTGTTGCAAATTAAATTATCTAAATCACCTTCATTCAACAAAATTTAATTACATTTCTAACTGCATCTAATCCTAGAAATGTATTATTGGGATGACTACTAACAAAAATGTATATATTGTTAATATTTCTTTTAAAATAATTTGAATATGCATAAGAATTATCTTTAACAATTATAATAAAGTTATTATCTGTGAATTCACAAAGTCATTGGACCAAAAAAATGTAAATACAAAACACTAAACAATTTTCTAGGCCATGGCATGCTCATTTATATAAATAATTCATTTGAAGAAATTTGAAGAAATTACACGTTTCAATTTAGAAATTACGGATATCACACGTATATATGAATGATATATATATATATATATATATATATATGTATTTATATAAATGTATAGATTTATTTGTATTTGTACATTACAACCTTGAACGAGTATGTTGTCCAATTTCATTAGAAATTTTAATGTAAGTTCATTAACTGGGTCATGAGTTTACTTACATTTTTTTTAAAGTTTTGGTAAACAAATTTAAACAAATTTATTACTAAAGGACTCAAATATATGTTCATACTTTTTAGTAACAATTGGCATTTTTAAAACAAGTTTTAGTAGGTAAAATTGGTTTAAAAAATAATTTTTGAAGACAGGTGCAGAATATAGGATAATGCAAGTGTGTAATGAGTATTCTTATATTTTTTATTTTTTGTTAAACAAATTTGAACAAAATTTATTATAAAAAAACTCAAATATATGTTTATATTTTTTAGTAACAATTAGGATTTTTAAAACAAGTTTAGTAGTAGTTAAAATTGGTTCTAAATTGGATTTTTGCATACTGATTATAATCTCATTTTCAGTCTAATATTTATTTCCTCTGTACTAAATATTATTTCTTGTAAATTTAAAATGAGTCAATTCTCATGTCTATAAATTTCTCTCAAATGCCAAAGGCATAAATAAATTAAATCTTTTCGCCATTCTAAATTCTCAAACTTGAAGTTATATAACACAGATATAATATGTAAATTTTAAATATTAATATGACGACATCAAGAATGAATTCTTTCTGACACAACCGTTGAAGAAGTTAAATTATTCAAAAATGATGGACTTATTCGAAATAGGTTTGAACAAGTAGCATTTCAAAAAAAAATTAATAGAATGGGTAATAGACATACGGAAATAGATAATAGATAGATGATCGATTTTTCAGGATTTATTCGAATTTAACTAATTGCCATTTTCATCAATTGCAACCCCAAAATAGTGTTGCCTTAAGGCAAATTGCTGGAACTTCCCGTACCGTAACGAAATGTTCAGAGAAATATTGAATGTTTCAAATAGATTATTATAAATATTGTAACATTGTCTAATATTTATAAGAATTATATAACTGAATTACAAAGTTGAAATTATTTGTTTAAAGTATATTAGAACTATAGTCAGAATAAAAATAAAATCTGAATTATTTTCGATACACAAAAAAATAAAAAAAAAAATGAAAAAAAGGTTCAACCAATTTTTTTTTCCAAAAATAATTATATGGTTAAGA